AAGCTCGAAGCTGACCGCTGGTCTGCCACGCTGTGGCAAGAGCGGCTGGCTGCCCCAAGCAATCGCCCTGCTCCTCCTCCTCATCCATCTATTCCCCCCCCCTCCCCCTTTGGCTGGGGAGCCCGGAGCCCCGCTCCTTGGAGGTGCGCGACGAGGCGGGCTCGACGAGCGCCGACCCGTCGTCCTCCCCGCCACGGCCATGCGGCCGTCGTCGTCGTTGTCATCGTCGTCGTCGTCGCGCTCCCACGAGAGCATAATTCGAGGCTCGAGGGTTTCTTCCGTAAGCGGTCTTCGTCCTTTCTGGGGCCTCCGGGGGGCTCCCCGCCGCCGCTGCTGCGGCTTCCCATCGCGGTTCTTGTCCGAGCGCGGCCCAGGTGTCGACTCTTGCTGTTGATGAGGAGGAAAGGAGGAGGAGGAGAAGGAGCAGGAGGAGGAGGGGGAGGAGGAGGAGGAGGAGGAGGAGGAGGAGGAGAGGAGGAAGGAGGAGGAGGAGGAGGAGGAGGAGGAGGAGGAGGAGGAGGGGGGAGGAGGAGGAGGAGGAGGAGGAGGAGGAGGGGAGGAGGGGGGAGGAGGAGGAGGGAGGAGAGGAGGAGGAGGAGGAGGAGGAGGAGGAGGAGGAGGAGGAGGAGGAGGAGGAGGAGGAGGAGGAGGAGGAGGAGGAGGAGAGGAGGAGGAGGAGGAGGAGGAGGAGGAGGAGGAGGAGGAGGAGGAGGAGGAGGCGGATGAGGAGGAGGAGGACCAGTGCAAATCCAAGACTCATCAACGATGTTGGAGTACACCCTCCGTCCAAACTCCCTCTTCATAGGCCCCTACAAGAGTTGATTTCCACTGAAGGCATTGCCCCGTTGGAGGACATCCGTGTGGAAATCCTGAAGCGTGCCAGAACACCTTTTTTCAGGACTTCAACGCCACGAATTAACCTGACAATTGCGTCTTGACGATCCCAAATCGTGCCAGAATGCCATTTCTGGGACTTCAACACCGCGAACCAACATACTTCTTGCACCTTTGCAACCCTGAACCGTCCCAAACACCATTTGTGGTACGTTAACTATGAGAATGTGCGCGGCGCTAAGACGAGAACCATATTTTGAAAAGGAACCGCCCTCAATCCTTGACACTATTGCAACTTCTTACAGCGAGTGTTCGCGGCGAGCCACATTTTGAAAACCAGCTGCCCTCGACGCATGTGCGCGGCGCTAAAGCGAAAATCACATTTTGAAAACCACTCGCCTTCAATCCGTAAAGCTCTTGCAACATTTTCCCAAACAACTTGCTGAACGGGGTGCTGTTGTGGTAGAAACTGCCTCCAGCCGAGGGAAAGGGAAACAGAGACATCCTCAAACGAAAATGGTGGTCCAAGCCGTTTCGCCAGAAACATCCTCACAACTCTCGTTTCTGAATTTCTGAATTGTCCAGGAATGGTCGCTTCGCCTGAAACGTCCTCGAGAATCTGGGCTCCCGGACGCCGCGCGCGAGGTGGTCCAGGCCGTTTCGCCCGATAAGTCCTCGGAACTATAAGCTCCGAGATGCCGTGCGAGAGGTGGTCCAGCCGTTTCGCCTGAAACATCCTTGAAAGTTGGGTTCTGGGACGCCGCGCGCGAGGTGGTCTGGGCCGTTTCGCTGGAAACATCCTCGACACTTTGGGCTCCGAGACGCTGCGCGCGAGGTGGTCTGGACTGTTTCGCCTGAGGCATCCGCGAAATTCAATTACCGAGGTGCCGCGCGCGAAATGGTCTGGCCTGTTTCGCCTGAAACATCTTTACAACCCGGGGCTCCGAGATGTCGCGCGCGAGGTGGCCCGCCCCGTTTCGCCTTAGACATCCTCGCAATTCAGCGCTTCGAGCTGCCGCGCGTGAGGTGGTCTCCGCTTGAGCGATCCTCGAAACTCTGAGCACCGAGCTGCCGCGTGAGAAATGGTCGGGCGCCTTTCGCTTGAGACATCCTCGCAGTCCTTGGCTCCAAAATGCTGCGCGAGAGGTGGTCTAGCTGGTGTCGCTTGAGACATCCTTTCAATCTGGAGTTTTGAAAAACAGTGCGCAAAAGGGTGTGTGTGTGTGTGTGTGTGTGTGTGTGTTTGGCCCATTTCGCCTGAAACATCCTCGAAACTTTGGGCTCGGAGGGGGAGGAGAAAAAGGAGGGAGGAGGGGTCAGACCCGAACGAACCATTTGATTACACTTCTGCTGTTGGATTGTGCTGTGGGAGGGGTCTGGGCGCCGCCTGAGACATCCTCACAACTCTGAACTCCCAGATGTCGCGCGCGAGGTGGCCCACCCCTTTTGCCTGAGACATCCTCGCAACTCGGGCTCCCGTCCTAGAAACTCTGCCCTCCGAGAGGGAGGAGGAGAAATTCACACCCAAACGAATCACGTGATTCCGAATCTGTTGTCGAATCGTGTGCTGGGAGGGATCTGGGTGCCGCTTGATAGATCCCCCGAACTCTGAAATCCCAAATGTCGCACGCGAGGTGGTCCAGCCCATTTCGCCTAAGACATCCTCGCAATTCGGGGCTCCGAAATGCTGCGCGCGAGGTGGTCTGGCACGTCTCGCCGAGATGCTGCGCGCGACATCCTTGCAACTCTGAGCTCCTTGAACATGTGCGCGGGGTGGTCTTTCGCGTTTCGCCTGATGCATCCTCGCAACTCTGGGCTCTCAAAACATGTGCGCAACGTGGTCTGGCGCGTTTCGCTTGGAACATCCTCGCAATTGGGCTCCGAGGAGCCGCGCCCAAAGTGGTCTGGCCCGCTTCGTTTGGAACATCCTCGGCATTCCAAGCTCCGAGAGGGAGGAGAGAGAGAGAGAGAGAGAGAGAGAGAAGCGAGGAGGGGTCAGACCCGAACGAAGCATTTGATTCCACTTCTGTTGTCGAACTGTGCTCTGCAAAGGTCTGGGCGCCCCTGGCCCGACGGAAGAGGCAGCTGGCGCCGAGGCGCGATCACGATTCCTTGGCAGCTTGCAGGGGCTGGTCAGGGCGGAGCAGTGCTGGAGCATCCGTGGCGATGCCTCGACTAGAGCGCGGCGGGCAGGGATGGGGGCAGAATCTGGGAGGAGAAAGGGATGATGACAAACAACTCAACGATGCTGCGCGAAAGGAGAAATGGACGAGGGAGACGGGACCAGGCTCACATACTACCTGTTTATGATGATGATGGTGATGCTGATGATGAGGATGCTGGTGCTGATGATGGTGACGACGGTAATGATGATGGTAATGCTGGTGGTGATAACGACGATGACGAGGATTCTAATGCTGCTGGTGATGTTGTTGTTGTTGTTGATGCTGATGCTGATGTGGATGATGAGGAGGTGCATGACAAGCAGGAGGATGAGGAGGAGGCGGAGGAGGCGGAGGAGGCGGAGGAGGAGGAGGAGGAGGAGGAGGAGGAGGAGGAGGAGGAGGAGGAGGATTTTTGACATCCACAATGCAGCCCGATACAACTGTGGGTTGGGGACTCCCACAGAGGGCACTCTTTGGTGCAGAAAGCCCCCTGATGGAACCAGGTGTATACTGGCCAGAAGGACCTGAAAGTAAAAAATGGACTGGCCACAGTAAACGGCCTAGAAAACCAATGGGCGAGCTCCCCACGACGGGAGAATCCCTTTTGGCTAATAAGCTGCAACCCGATCTCAATCCGACCCCGACTCATGCCCTTTGAAATCTCCTGGCCCGCCCGACCTCCACCAGGCGGTGCGTCACCGAAACGCTCCTCAATGCTGACACAGGATCGGGTCCGGGGCCGTTCGCGCAGACACCAACTCGCCTTGGGGTCGGGACCGCGTGCAAACGAAGGGATGATCGGAGATTCCACAATCCGCAGATTCTTGTTGTTCCGCGGGTAACGTCCTGACATTATCTGATTGAAAATAGTGCAGCTGTGTCTGCTGAACGGCCCGAGGCATCTGCTGGCAAAACCACTTTGCGACACCGCACCAGTGTGTAGGAATGCCCCACAACGCAGGCACACATAGCAATCCGATCCATCGGGCACATGAAACAAAGCAAACTTGTGGGCATTCCGCTCCGCCTCGTCCATGTCCAACTGTGACGGACCGAGGCATTTCCCAGGGTCCGGCCTAGTAATCGACCTAGCACTTTTTTGACAAAGCGTGCAGCGCCAACAACCACTGAATAACTGCCAATCGTATTGGGCGAAAACTGCAGCAAACTGACACACGCGATCTGGGGCTGAGAACTCTACGCCATCGAGTCGGAGTCTCGGCCATTGAGGTAACAGCTTGGCGGCGAGACGGCACTGCACGAGTAACTGCTATGTTGCTGGCCGCCTTCGCTGCTCCAGCCTCGGATGGTCTTGGGTGGACATAGGCCCCTGCCTTAGCGACTGCGTCGGCATGGCCGTTGCCCATCCTACGGAAACGCTCGCCCCACGGCCACGGCCACGGCCACGGCCACGGCCACGGCCACGGCCACGGCCAAGGCCACGGCCACGGCCACGGCCACGGCCACGGCCACGGCCACGGCCACGGCCACGGCCACGGCCACGGCCACGGCCACGGCCACGGCCACGGCACGGGGCTCTATATGCTTGCACTGGTTGATAGAAAGAATCTGGCCCGCATATTTCTTCTTGAAAAACAATCTAAGCGAGGGTGGTAGTCTGTAGTGGCTGACTACCGCCTGGCAATCAGGAAAAGCTACACTGGAGCTCCCCAGCTGCAAAGACGCCTGCGCCATCGCCGCAAACTCATTGGCGGGGGCAGTCTGCAAGATCGGAGAACACGCAGGTCCAAAAACCGAGCACTCGGGGGGACCTTCAGCCGAAACTTGAACTATCCCCCATCCAGCCCTCGCAAATTCTGGTATCGGATGCCCAAACATACCACCGTCTACGAAGATGCTACCACCGAGCGCTCCATCGTCGAAACCACGAACCTCACGATGCGATCTGATTTCCACTCCGCCCGGTTCGCGCGGCTGAGGCCAGAAGCTCGCTGGGTGCTCGAAGATGCCGCGCGTGAGCAACGCTGCCTCCTCCTCCGTGAGAGATCCTCGGACCCTGCTGATAATCTTCTCCTTGACCAACTCCTGCCTCTCCTTCTGGACTGCATCGCATCTCCAGGGCCTGTGGAGCGGGGTATCCACAGTCTGCGTGCAAAGTGGACAGAGGAGTCGCTCGCCACCCAGCACATATCCTACATCGCGGGCACGGGGTGCTGCCCGGCAGCCGCCGCCGCAAGATTTCTGATCATGCCCTGTTCTATGGGGGTGTACTTTTTACGACGAGCTTCGACCTCGACGATGTCGAAACAAGCTCGGCCCCAGTGCATCTCGAGTTTTTTGGCGATCGACTTTTCGAGGTCCCTGACAACAGCTCGTCAAAACACGTCCTTCAGAAGCATGCGGACTGACGAAAGTGAGCTGGGTGGCCGTGCCCTGGTCGATGATCAAGTGCGGTCGCACAGTCTTTCATGCTCCACCCTCTGCGGCTCAACGACCTATGCAGAACGCTGATCGGTCCGCGCGCGCGCCTGCAGGTGGCGGGCGGAGCAGTGGGCTCATAGACGCATGTCCACAACCGTCGCAGTTCAGGCACGGTAAACGAGCGAAAGGGCGATCTACACTGAGCAGCCCACGCCCGTTTGCTCCATCTGACAACTGGCGCTACCATGCCGCGCCAACAAGGTTCATTTTCAAAGACAAGAGCATCGGATACATATCGCCTACCACAGGCTGGGCGCAAACATCGGCCCGCCTGCTGCCTGACCCCCCCCCAACTCATAGTTGCTCACCCAGAGACTGCGGTTCCATGTTGAAGTCGCCCCCAATGATGCACGACGATAGACGCGAACTAGCCGTGGCCCCAATGCTAGCAAGCATATCCATATCGTTGTCACTCAGACCCTCGACGCAATGCAGGTAGCAACTGATCAGAAGAATAGGGCCATCTTCGCCAACATGCATCCGCGCTGCAATTGCCCGATGTGGTGACACCTTAGCTCCTTCTACAGGCTCGTGCAAGCCCAGGGACTCCCTGGCCAACGCCGCCACGCCCCCAGAAGTGCACGCGTCGCTGTCCTACTGTCACCTTAGCTGCCTCGCAGAGGCCCTTCCGGCCGTGCCGCCTGCGCCAGCTCTGCGCCTCGGGGATCTGCGACGCTTTAAAGTGATGCTCCTGGGGCAGGACTGCGTTGGCAGACGTGGTGGGCAGCCGAGCTTCGGCCGAGCTCCGCGCTGTGTAATCCCGCCAGCCCTCTGGGCTTAGGTGGTCTAACGCGTTTTTTCTTCTCTCTTCCGCTGAGGCCCCTCCCCCGGCCCCCTCCCCCAGGCCTGGGCGGGGCGCGCCGCGAGGCGCTGGGGCGTCCGAGGCGGCCCAAGATTGCTCCGAGAGGCGTTCGAAGTCGCGGGGTGGCCTCCAAGATGGCCCATGTTACTTCAAGATGGTTCAAGATAGCCTCCGACCTACCCCCAAGAGCCCCCAAGACAGCCCCGGGACGGATCCAAGTGCCCTTCGAGCCCTCCACGGCGCTCTCCAAGATGCCCAAACCCATCGAAAGCGTAGGGGAGATCAATGTTTTCGGCATTCTCGCCTTTTCGCTTCCGATGGGCTTTTGGGGGCCTCAAGATGGCGCCATGATGACCCAAAAGGGCCCCAAGAGGGGCCCAATAAAGCCGAAGACGGCCCCAAGATCGCCCAAGTGGCGCCCAGGAGCGTTCCGAGACGGCCCCGAGACGCCGTTTGAGAGCCTCCGATGGGGGGGCGTCCGAGTGAAGGCGCCTCCTCTTTTTGAGGCATGGGGCTCAAGATGGCCTCGAGAGGCCTCCCGGCCTCTCCCAAAGACCCTCCACCCCGCCCTTTTTGGCCCAAGATGGCTCCAAGAGAGCCCAAGATAGCTCAAGATGGCCTTCAACATGGCATGAGATAGCCAAGCGTGGCTCAAGATAGCCTCCGACAGACCTCCAAGAAACCTCAAGACAGCCTCAGGGTGGCCCAAGATAGCCGAGCATGGCTCAAGATGGCCTCCGACAGCCAACAGCCGAGCATGGCTCAATATAGCCTCCAAAGAGGCCTCAAGAAAACTGGCAATCAATTCTGGATGGGCTGGCGGGGGCACGCGAAGCGTCGAGAATTGCAAGTGCAAGCCTGCAGCGCAAGGGCATCCTTACCAGTTTTTTTTTTTTTTTTTTTTTTTTTTTGGGGGGGGGGGGGGGGGGGGGCTCGAAGAAATCAAAACTGCTGGCGCCGCCCGAAGCATGCCTCACTAAAGTAGAATCCAACTCTTCAACGCCTGCGCCGACGGTGGGTGCGGAAGCCGTCAGGCCAGTCGTGGAATATGCAAGAGATGGCGCCAACCTGGCGTCGCTCACGCTTAAAACTTGCCCGAGACTGCCCGCGTCTAATGAGTCGCTGTCAGAGTGCCCCAACAGCGCCTTCAGATAACTTGCGCGCCTGGAGATTGGCCGAGCAATTCGCGCCGTGAGCTTGGATATGTACAAAATTCTTCACTGAAAAGGTCGCCCCCCCGCCGCCCACGTCACTTCGCGGCGGCGGGGGGTGCGGGCTGAGACGACTTGTCGAGCAAAGAAGCAGCGCGCTCACGAACGTTGGTCTCAGCGGCCGAACTCGCGCCACCTTCGGCTTCCTGTGAACCAGCCGCCACCGCCAGTTTGGTCCTGCTCGAGCTCGAGTCGTCTCCGCCCGCGCCAGCGCCGTCGGCCGACGCCGCAGCGGCCTCCGCGCCAGGAACGGCCGCGCCCTCGTCGTTCTTGCGCTTTGTCCCCATGCGGAGGATATGCTGAGCCTGCTCCTCGCGGACTTTTTTTTTTGCCTTCTCCAGCGCCCCAGAGAATGACTTAGTACACGCCTCGCGGAACTGGTCATTAAGCATCTTCCGTCTGGCCTCATCTCAGATTTATTTGCTGGGTCCACCGCGAAGTCCTTCTCGTCGAACTTGCAATGGGGTCGAGGCTGACCATGTCGAGAATCGTGCTGGTGCCGCCCTCGAGGTCAGCGACATTCAACTTACCAACAACTCCTGTGTGACGTGGGGCGGCCTCAACCATGCCACCTGCCAGCTCTTTGACGCACTCTTTGTAGGCATCATCTGCTTGCTGGAGTCCACCTCGAGCCGATGCGACCATTGCCTTCTGAGCTTTGACCTGCTCCTCCAGCTTGGATAGCCGATCCAACTCCGTAGATAGCTTCCTTTCCCAAAGTTGAACATTACTGTGGGCCTTCGCAGCGCGCTGCTGCACAGGAACAGGCTGCGCACTCTTGGTGATGCGCTCGAGGGCCTGCTTGTGCTTGTGCGCCGCGCCATGTCGCCGCCTTTCTCGCGCAGGGACACGAAGGTGCGAAGCTCATCTGCAAACAGCGCAACCCCTGCCTCTGGTCCGCCGCCACCACAGCCAGCGCCAGACAGTGAAGAGGAAACTCAGGCCACGGCTGAACCACGTCTGAGTCGTGCTTCGCGTAGCTCCACTTGCCGTCCGCCCTGTTGGTGCCGCAGTCCTTGCAAAAGTGCCACGACTCGAGGTTCTTCTTGCTGCCGCACATGTCACAGCGCCAGCGGCGGCCAACCCACTCCGAAGCTGAGCCCTGTCGATCAGCAGGATGCCAGCTCCCGTGCCCTGGGCCTGCCTCTGCTCCGCGCCAAGGCTTTGGCGACTCGCGCCACGGCGCCGAGCCAGAGAGCCATTCGCCAGGAACGCCGCCACTGGACCGCCAGGCGCCATTGACGGCCATGTAAGGGGGGCAGAGACTGCCGAAGCCAAAAAAGAGGCTCGCACACGCAGAATGCTGTCCTGAAGTTGGCGTGTGCAATGCCCGCGCTCGGGCACAGGACAACTGGAGGAGGAGCAGTACGGAAAGAACGGGGAGGAGGAGGAGGAGGATGAAGAGGAGGAGGAGGAATGCGAGGACGAGGAGGAGGAATGTGAGGACGAGGATGATGATGATGGTGATGATGATGATGATGCTGATGATGATGAGGAGGAGGAGGAAGAGGAGGAGGAGGAGGAGGATAAGGAGGAGGAGGAGAAGGAGGAGGAGGAACAACAGAGGGATGGCTGGAGGAGGGAGGAGGAGGATGGAGAAGGGTGAGGAGGATGAGGAGGAGCAGCAGCAGAAGCAGCAGAAGCAGCAGCAGCAGCAGCAGCAGCAGCAGCAGCAGCAGCAGCAGCAGCAGCAGCAGCAGCAGCAGCAGCAGCGGGAAGGCGGGAGGAGAGGAGGAAGGGGAGCTGGAGGAGCAGCGGGGAGGAGGGAGGGAGGAACCCTCCCTCGCGCCTTCGAGTTCCTCTGCGCCGCAACGGCCTCCTCCTTCAGCATGTCCTGGCTCGCAGGTCGGCCCTTCGCCCAGAGAGGCCTCCTGCCCCGGGCCCCTGGCCCGAGGGGCCCGGGCCTCCAACGCACCGAACAACTTGATCCGGAGGTCTTGCGCACGCAGCTTTCGGCCCCCGGGGGGCCTGGCCTGGCCCCTGGACCGTGGGAAAACGACTCAGGACGCAAAGCCGGCGCTTCGGGTGGGTGGTGATGGGGGGTTGAAGAGAAGGGCCCTAAAAGGGGCCCCAAATAGGAGCCCTGTGAGGGCCTTTCTTGGGCCCTTGTTGGGCCCCAACTAGGCGCCATTCTAGGGCCCAAAGAGGGGCCCCTTCTGGAGCCAGTAGGGCTCCCAAAGGGGCCCCTGAAGGGCCCGAGCCGTGGGGAATAGGTCGGGACTTCTGGGGACCCCGTGCTGAAACACCCCGTGCATCGGATCTCTCGGGGGGGGAGCGCCCCGTGTTGACTCCCCCCCAGGCGGCGCGCACAAGGTGGTAGGGGGAGGAGGGGGGGGGGAAGGCTTCCTGGTCAACGTTTTCTTATTCGGCGTTTCGGCATTGGGCGGAAGGGGGGTGGAGGGGGGGCTCTGGCTCGGGACCTCCGCTGAGAGAGACTCTTTGGAACACTGCTCCACTGGGGGAGTCCTGTGGGGAGTCGTCCGCCTGCTTGAAACAGGCGCCAACACAGCCAAGTTCTGATCCATGGGGGGGGAGGGGGTGCGAGGGCCCGCGCCGATCGGCAAAACGATGAAGAAGAACACGATCCCTTGGAAGGAAGCTGCTTCTCAGAAGTCGCCAGCCTTGCATCCACAGGTAAGGCCCGCGCGTTCTATCTAAGGAGCAGAAGTGCTTCTACGAAGCCTTCCTCTCTCCCTCCTCCCTCCTCCCTCCTCCTTTTTCCCTCCTCCTCCTCCTCCTCCTCCTCCTCCTCCTCCTCCTCCTCTCCCTCCTCCTCCCCCCCCTCTGGGCGTGGCCGCTCCACGTCTTCTTGATGCTCCCCTGGCCGTTCGTGGGGCCTCCCCGCCGCCCGGGCCGTGCTCGAACAGCGAGGTGCCGGTTCCAGCGCCCCCTACAGTCGGGGCGCTGACCTAAGGAACCCTGAATAAGGAACGAAGCCCCTTTTTTCCGTAACTTAAACTTCGATTTCCCATCGAAAACATGAGGAAAACCTGAGGCGAGCTGTGACACAATTAAGGAATACGGAGACCCTGCCAAACGAGAAGGGTTCCTTCTTCAGCGACCCGACTGTAGGGGAGATCCGGGTGTCCAGTGCGAAGCCCAGAATTGGAGGTCTCCTAGGAGATCAGGGGCTCCCAACTTCGTGCTTCGCGCTGCGCGAAGCGCGAAGTGCGAATCACTTCGCGCTCTTGCGCCGCCTCCCAGGGGAGAAGAGGAGGATGAGGGATCGGGGCCGAACCGCGAAGCGCGAATAACTTCGCGCCCTCGAGGGCGCCCTTGATTAGAGGTCTCCTAGGTGATGGGGTCCGAGTAGGTGGGGTCGGGGGATCGCGCCGTATCGTTGATGCATCGGCGACGTCGACGTGAAGCAGATCGGGCTCCACATCTAGCCGCACATCGGCGATATATCGGCGGCGTGGCGCGATCCTCCGACCCCATCTAGACCCTGAGCCCTAAACCCTAAACCCAAAGCTCTGACCCTAAATCCTACACCCTAACCCCCCAAAGCCCCAAACCCTAAACCCTGATGGTGGTGATGATGCTGATGATGCTGCTGCTGATGATGATGGTGATGGTATGATGATGATGCTGATGATGATGATGATGATGATGATGATGATGATGATGATGATGATGATGATGATGATGATGTTTCTGCTGCTGTTGTTGATGGTTCTGCCGCTGCTGATGTTGACGGTATCCAAGATGCCAATACATATGACAACGACAATGCTAACGCTGATGATGATGCTGATGATGATGCTGCTGCTGATGATGGTGCTGATGATGATGATGACGATACTGCCGCCCGACCCGACTTGATGTTAACCGTGAAAGATGTATGCTTGTGATTCCCAGCCCTCCTGCGTTGGGTTCTCTTTTGGAATAGAGACTTGCGGTCGCACACCTTCCTTCCTTCTCTCCTCTCTCCCACTCTCATCTTTCCTGCCTTCTTCTTACCTCGCTCCCTCCTGCGTGCCAGCTTGCCGCCCACCTGGTCACCCCTGGCATCCTCAGCGAAGTGGCGTCCTACGCGGATCACCAGAAGACCTCGCCATCCCTGGGGGGCCTGCGATCTGCGAAAATGTCGCCACTTTCGAAGGCTGCTGGGGGGTCCAGCGGAGTAACGTCCTACCCAGATTCAAATTGGACCTCGCCATCCCCGGGGGGCTGCGATCTGCGAAGGAGCCGCCAGTTTCGAGGGCTGCTGGGGGTCCAGCGGAGCGACGTCCTACCCATATTCGAATTAAGCATCGCCGTCCCTGGGCGCTGCGTTATCCGAAACTGTCGCCACTTTCGAGGAAGGCTGCGGGGCCCAGCGAAATCACGTCCTACCCAGATTCAAGCAAACTCGGCCTCGCCATCTCTAGGGGTGGTGCCATTTGCGAAATTGTCGCCACCTTCGAGGGCTGCTGGGGGGTCCAGCGGAATGACGTCTGATACCGAAATTCAAATTCGAATTTCGCCATCCCTAGATATTCGAATTAAGCCTCGCCGCCCCTGGGGGGCTGCGCTCGTCGAAACTGTCGCCGCTTTCAAACTAGACATCGCCATCTCTGGGGTGCTGAAATCGGCGGAATTGTCGCCACTTTCGAGGGCTGCTGGGGGGTCCAGCGGGATGACGACCCACCCAAATTCAAACTAGACTTCGCCATCTTTGGGTGGCTGCCATCTGCGACGTTGTCGCCAGTTTCGAAGGCAGCCGAGGGGGTCCAACGGAATGACGTCTTACCCAGGCCATCCCTGGGGGTGTTGCCATTTACGACATTGTCGCCGTTTTCGAAGGCTGCTGGGAGGTCCAGCAGAGTGACGCCCCACCCAGATTCAAACTAGACCTCGCCATCGTTGGGGGGCTGCGATCTGGGGCTGGTGGGGGGGGTCCAGCGGAGTGACCTTTTACCCATATTCGAATGAAATCTCGCCGTCGCTGGGGGACTGCGATCTGCGAAGCTGTCGCCACTTTCGAGGGTTGCTGGGGGGCCCAGCGGAATGACGTGTTACCCATATTCAAATTTGACCTCGCCACCCCTAGGGGAGTGCGACCTGCGAAACCGTCGCCACTTTCGAAAGCTGCTGGGGGGGGGGTCCAGCGGAGTGACGTCCTACCCAACTTCAAATTAGACCTCGCCATCCCTTGGGGCCTGAGATCTGCGGAGCGGTCGCCATTTTCGAGAGCTGCTTGGGGGCCCAGCGGAGTGACGTCCCACGCAAATTCAAATTAGACTTCGCCATCCCTGGGGGGCTGCCATCTGCGAGCCGCCCCTTTCGAGGGCTGCTGGGGGGTCCAGCATAGCGACGCACTGCGCAAACTCAGATTCGTCGCCACTTTCGAAAGCTGCTGGGGGGTCCAACGGGGCGCTGTCGCGGGCCGCCCGCCGACCTGGCGGCGCGCCTTGGAGCATTTATTTCCAGCACTGAAAGGTGCAGCAAGGAAGCATTGAAGCTGGCGGGCGAGCTAGGCCTCGCTCGCTTCTTGCACTTAATACGAGCAGGTTTGATCATTTTGCCGAGCGCCGCGGCGACATGGCGCAGGCAACGCTGCATCTTTAGCGCGCTACCGACAAACACAGCACTCTTCGGTCTCCTCCCGACACTTTCATCGTCGTCCTCTGCCCCCTGCCACCTTCCCTCTGCTGCTGCCGCGCTGACGGTTCGGCCCCCCACGCGTCCTTCTCCTGCATGTCGTTCCCGCCCCCATGTCCTCCTCAAGCCTGGGGCCTCGCTCCTCGTCCTTTTGTTGTTATCCTGTAGTGCCACGTCAGCGCATCCCATGTAGCTTGCGCAACCTAAACACGGGGCCTGCACTGTCATTGTCCTGACACGTTTGGGTCTACTCTTCTTGTCACTTGATGCAGATTTGTTAGGTACGTCGCAGGGTAATTCCTTGAAAATGCTTCAGGACACTTTGTGATTACGTTATGACAGCTTCTTGGTGCCAGGGGCTCTTCGAAGAACTATGCTAAATTTCTCCTGCGGAGCCATGTTGGCGACTTACAGCCAACTTCAAGCCTGTAAACTGCTTTGCTATTCGGGTTCTCCGCGTGACTCGTAGAGCTTCCCCAAGATCGCAGATCACAAACCCAAAGGGTCATACTGCTGCAGGGTGGGGCTAATTGGCCAAACGAATACCGGCAGACTTTTGCGACATTTGCCTGGTTGAAAAAACTGCTGCCCGATTCACCCATTTGTTGGTCTTAAGCAAGCTTTGCCGAAACCAGGATCTTAGACCTGCTCGCCATCTCCATCTCAGTTTGATCGGATGTCTCTGAAGAGGGAGAGCTGATAGGCCAATAACGAATCAGGAGAACAGCTCGCTCATTGCGAAATTGCCCCCAAATGGGTCAGTCGGTCATCCGCTGGCCCCTTGCGGGGCCATCGACAGGAGGCGAGCAGGAGTGCGCAGAAGCGCTGTGCAGCAGTGTGCACATGAGCTGCACGGGAGGGAGACGCCCGCCAGCGCGGCACAGTGCTCGACGCCGACAGGGCACCGCGTCCAGCAGCGCGCGTGCGCGACGCAGATCGCCACGTGGACGCCGATCCTTGTGCGGCATGTCGCGTGCCAGCGCGTCGGGCGCAGCCCATGCTCGCGCTGCTGGTGCGCCCCCCTCCTCCTCCTCCTCCTCCTCCTCCTCCTCCTCTTCTTCCCCTCTTCTTCTTCTTCCGCCTCCTCCTCCTCCTCCTCCTCCTCCTCCATCTCCTCCATCTCCTCCTCCTCCTCCTCCTCCTCCTCCTCCTCCTCCTCCTCCTCCTCTCTCTCTCTCTCTCGCCTGCCTTTTTTCCCTGGGGCGGTGCCATCCTGGCTGGCCCGGAGGGTGTCGAGCACCTCGCAGTGGTAGCCGCTGGTGTAGCCGTCACCTGGTCGAGCGGGGAGATGGGCACGTGCGCGGAGGGCATCAGGAGGAGGGGGGGGAGGAGGAGGAAGAGAAGGAGAAGGAGGAGAAGGAGGAGGAGGGGGAGGAGGGGGAGGAGGGGGAGGAGGGGCACGTGCGCGGAGGGCCAAGCTCTTGAATATGTGTGTGTGTGTCTGTGTGTGCAGGAGGGTCTGTCCCCGCGCTGCCCAAGGGACTCGCGCAGCGCCGCGGCGCCCCGCGCGAGGACGAAAGCCGGATGATGGCCAGTGAAGAACACTGGCGGCCTCCCATGGCGTTTTCTGTTTGTTTGTTTGTTTGTTTGTCTGTCTGTCTGTCTGTCTGTCTGTCTGTCTGCTTGTTGTTGTTGTTGTTGTTGCTGAATACTCGCTCCTGAAGAATAATTGCTGCTGATCTCCGGAAGCGGTTCCCCGCGCTCTCGCCTCGACGCCTGCTGCATTTTCTCTGAAAGCGAGGCTCCCGCTCGAGCATTGGTTTGAGCCTAAATGTGGGCCCTTGGAGGCCCAGCTACGACAACAACGGCTCCCGCTCGATACTTCCTCACAATCAGAGAGGCCCCCGAACTCAGGAACGGCGCTCTCGCAAGAAGGCCCCCGAACTCAGGAACGGCGCTCTCGCTCGGGACTTTCCCGTAATTCAGGCCAGTTGGCACGGCGACAAGGGCTCCCGTTCGATATTTCTCCATAGGTATTCCAAAAGCCCCTGGCCAGAGAGGCCCCCGAACTCAGGAACGGCGCTCTCGCTCGAGACTTCTTCGCACTTCAGTCAGTGGCCGACAAGGAAGAGATTCCGCCCAAAAAGGGGTGCAATCGAAGACGAAGTGGGCGGGTATCGAGGGTTGGGGTATACGGGATGCAAGACACGCGTGCCATTAAGAACGAACAGTCTTAAAATGATTGTTGTCGTTGTCGTTGTCGTTGTCGTTGTCGTTGTCGTTGTCGTTGTCGTTGGTGTTGGTGTTGTTGTTGTTGTTGTTGTTGTTGTTGTTGTTGTTGTTGTTGTTGTTGTTGTTGAGCTTTCATTTCTGAAGAACAATCCCACCATCCCTCTGGGCGTCGGTGGTTTAGGGCGTTTCCTCTTCCACCCCTCCCTCTTCCCCTTCGGGGAGGGGCTTACCCCCCCTGGACCTGGACGGGGGGGGGGCCGCGGGTAGTTAGAGCGTCCAAAACGGCCTCGGCGAGGAAACCAAACTCATTGATTTTAGTAGGGTTTTGGCCCCATTTTGGCCTCCTGGGGGGGGACCTTAATTGAGGGACCCCCCCCCTTCGTTGACCAATCTCCTCCAAGATGGCCCCAAGAAGCGCACAGGAGGCCCCAAGAGGTCCCAAGATGGCCCCAAGATGGCCCCTCGAGGCCCCTAAGAGGCCCCCAGGAAGACCGTAAGCGGCCCCAAGAGGCCCCCCCCGAGGCACCCAAGACCCCGAAGAGCCCCCCATGATCGCCAAGACGTCCCAAGAGGCCACCAAGAATCGCCCAAGAGATACTCCAAGAGGCTCCGAAAAAAGGCTCCAGGAGACCTCTGGCCCTTGTGCTTGCCCTCCTCCTCCTCGTCCTGTTCCTCCTTCCTGCTCCTACTCCTTCTCTTACTCCTCCTCCTCCTCCTCCGCCTCCTCCTCCTCCGCCTCCTCCTCATCCTATTCATCCTCCTTCTTCCCACTCCCTCATCCATCCATTCATCCACCTCCTCCTTCTCCTCCTCACTCCTTTGCACGGTTCTGGCGTCCTCCTCTTTGCTGCCGCACTTCCCTGATCACCTCAACTCGCCTGGACATCGTTTCTGGATGGGCTGGTGGGGATACGTTTTTTGGTCGCGGCCGCGAGCGAAGAGCGCAGGCGGCGAACAAGGTGTCCGGGCCGACGGGCAAGCCTCATTAGCTACAAGACGCGCCGCTAGCCGGCCGGCCCGCTCACTAAGCAGCCGCGGGGCTGTGCGGGAAGCTGACGGCAGGGGGCATCCTGGCAAGCTCGGGCACGCGCAATCTGACAAAATTATCCCGGCAAAGCAACCTAACAGCGATGTGTAGAAGCATATCTGAAAGCATTCCCCTTAAGATTCAGATGAAAATCCAGTTGTCGAATTCTGCTGTTCTCGCAGTCGTAGTCGCATTCGCGATGACAGTCGCAGCGGCAACGGCAGTCGCAGTCACAGCCTCAGCCTCAGCCTGCCTCCTCCTCCTCCTCCTCTTTCTCATGCTCCTCCTCCTCCTCCTCCTCCTCCTCCTCCTCTTCCTCCTGCTCGTCCTCGTTCTCGTCCTCCTCGTCTTGCTCGTCCTCCTCCTCCTGGTGCTCTCTCCTCCTCCTCCTCCTCCTCCTCCTCCTCCTGGTGGTCCTCGTTCTCCTCCTCCTGGTGCTCTCCCCCCCCCCTCCTCCTCCTCGTCCTCCTCCTCCTCCTCCTCGTCCTCCTCCTCCTCCTCCTCCTCCTCCTCCTCCTCCTCCTCCTCCTGGTGGTCCTCGTTCTCCTCCTCCTGGTACTCTCCCCCCCCCTCCTCCTCCTCGTCCTCCTCCTCCTCCTCCTCCTCCTCGTCCTCCTCCTCCTCCTCCTCCCTCCTCCTCCTCCTCCTCCTCCTCCTGGTAGTCCTCCCCCTCCCCTCCTCCTCCTCCTCCTCCTCTTCCTGGTCGTCCTCGTTCTCGTCCTCCTCGTCTTGCTCGTCCTCCTCCTCCTGGTGTTCTCTCCTCCTCCTCCTCCTCCTCCTCCTCCTCCTCCTCCTCCTGGTGGTCCTCGTTCTCCTCCTCCTGGTACTCTCCCCCCCCCTCCTCCTCCTCCTCGTCCTCGTCCTCCTCCTCCTCCTCCTCCTCCTCCTCCTCCTCCTCCTCCTGGTGCTCCTCCCCCTCCCCTCCTCCTCCTCCTCCTCCTCTTCCTGGTCGTCCTCCTCCTCCTGGTCGTCCTCCTCCTCCTGCTCGTCCTCCTCCTCCTCCTGCTCGTCCTTCTTCTCCTGCTCCTCCTGCTCCTCGTCCTGCTCCTGCTCGTCCTCGTCCTCCTGGTCTTGCTCGTCCTCCTCCTCGTCGTGCTCTTGCCCCTGCTGAAAATGTGGCCCAGGAATGGGAGTTCTGGGAAGTCGAAGAGCACGAAGTTGCCTACAGTTGGCTACGGGCATTCAAAATGTGGCCCGGGAATGGAGTTCTGGGAACTCGAAGAGCACGAAGTGGCCTACAGTTGGCTCCGGGCATTCAAAATGTGGCCCGGGAATGGAGTTCTGGGAACTCGAAGAGCACGAAGTGGCCTACAGTTGGCTCCGGGCATTCAAAATGTGGCCCGGGAATGGAGTTCTGGGAACTCGAAGAGCACGAAGTGGCCTACAGTTGGCTCCGGGCATCCAAAATGTGGCCCGGGAATGGAGTTCTGGGAACTCGAAGAGCACGAAGTGTGTGACTGTTGCATCCGGGCATCCAAATGTGGCCCGGGAATGGAGTTCTGGGAACTCGAAGAGCACGAGTGTGACTGTTGCATCCGCCCTCCAGAATGTGGCCCGGGAATGGCGTTCTGGGATCTCGAAGAGCACGAAGTGTGTGACTGTTGCATCCGGGTATTGAGAATGTGGCCTGGGAATGGAGTTCTGGGAAGTCGAAGAGCACGAAGTGTGTGACTGTTGGTGAAAAACGAGCCCGGCACCCTGCCGCCCGGCAACTCCCCAACACCTGCCCGGACCCCCCTGTGGAGTGATCTGTGAGCTCTTTTGAGTCAACTAGAAACCTATCAGTCTTCGCTGTTAGGTAATATCGAGAAATTCGTTGCCTGCCGTGAGGCATAACCCACACAGCGACATGACGTGCAGCGGGGCAGACGTGCCCGTCAAACTGGGTGGGGGCAGGCGCGAAGCCCGATGAGCGAGTCGCCAGTGGGGCGCCAGGCCCAATCCGTCCCAACGACGTGTGCTGGCTAGGGGAGCTGAGCTGCCGAGGAACGTGGAACGTCGCAAACCTGCCGGAAGAGGGGGGATGAGCCCGGGGTGCTGTTGCGGCTGCGAAAGGCTAAACCACTCCGGCGCGGCCACAGCACCCGAAAGTCCACCAGACAGTCAGACAGTGCACGTGGTAGGCCTGGACGACCGCGAGCCGGCCCCGTCGACAACGGCACAGCGCCAGGCCAGATGGACTAGAGGAGAAAGCCTGGCAGGCGTGGTAAACATCGCCAGCGAGGCAGGGGGATCCAGGGGGGTGCTGCACAGGGGGCACGGCAGCTGCCGCCTGAAGTACGCCGAAGGCCACCGAGGGACGGCCTTATCCTCCAAGTACACGAAGCTGGCTGTACCTCCAGAGGCGGTGTGTGGCGTGTGTCCAAGCTAATGGGAAAACCATTGCTAGTAGGGTGGGGCGACCTGGCTGAAGCTGCGCTGTGGCAGCCGCGCGGGGCCGACGGCCACCGTGGGCCGACCTTGTCCGCCGCTTCCGCCCTTCCCCGCGGGAGTCCAGGGTCGCCGTCAACCACGCCACGTGGGCCTCCAGGGTCGCAGCTAGCCGCCGCTGAAAGTGAGGAACCTTACTACGGACAGCGGGGATCCAGGGCGGCCCTGTTGAGGGGGGGCGAAGCCATCGATGCCAGTCGGCGCGCCTGGCGAAGCCCCGCCAGTAGAAGGCCCGGGGGGAAGGGGGGGGGATAGACGCGACCGACCGCTCCCACAGGGGGCCACCGAGGGGGGCGCCTGGTGAGGGAAGCGCAAGGAAGCGAGCCCCGAGGGCCAAGGGCGGGGGACACCCGCCCGGCCTGAGAGGGGCCCGAGGGGAGAGGCGAGGAGGGAGCACCTCAACGCCCTTCGAACGGGCCCCAGATCTGCCTGTCAAGGGGCACGGCCGCCATTCTCGAGAATCCTCCAGGGTCGCAGCTAACCGCCGCTGAAGTGCAAATCGTAACGAATGATAGGTCCTTCGCCCGGTGCTGGTGCAGTTCGATGGTGTGGTCCAGAGTGGGCATCGTGCCGCGCTGAATGCTGGTCTGCCAACGCGGAGACTGGCACCTCTGTGGGGACGGTGTGCGTTGGTTCCTCCAGG